AGAATTGGACCTAACACAGAGCCCTGTGGAATGTCATGACTAACTTTAGTCTGTGTGGAGGATTCATCATGAATATGAAAAAAATGGAATCTTTCTGATAAATAAGATTTGAAACAACATCTTGCAATTCCTTTAATCCAGATAACATGCTCTACTCTCTGTAATAGGATGTTGTGTTGAATGGTGCCAAAAGCAGCACTGAGATATAAGAGGACAAGTATAGAGATGAGTCCTTTGTCTGAGGTTAGGAGGAGATCATTGGTGACTTTTGTCAATGCAGGTTCTGTACTATGATGGACTCTAAATCCTGACTGAAAATCCTAAAACAAATTATACCCGAGTAAGTGGTCACATAACTGCTTTGCAACAGCTATTTCAAGAATTTTAGAAATTAAGGGTAGATTGGATATTGGTCTATAATCAGCCAGAACACCTGGGTCAAGAGCAAGCTTTATGAGTAGAGGTTTAATTACAGAAACCTTAAACGCCTGTAGGACATAGCCTGTTAATAGAGAGCGGTTGATCAGATCTAATACGGATGTGTTGACTAGGGGCAAGACGTCTTTGAACAGCCTGGTCGGGATTGGGTCTAAAAGACATGTTGATGATTTAGATGAAGCAATTGTTGAGGTCAACTCAAAGAGATTTATGGGAGAGAAGCTTTCTAAATGTAAATGAGGTCTGACAGATGTTTCTAAAGCTACTGTACTTGATGAAACAACTGTGAGAGTTGTAGGAAGGATCAGATGAATTTTTTTCTCAAATAGTTGTGATTTTATTTGTAAAGAAGCTCATGAAATTGTTACTACTGAGATCTAAGGGGATATTAAGCTCAACATTACTGTGGCTCTTTCTCAGCCTGGCTACAGGGCTGAAAATAAACCTGGGGTTGTTCTTATTTTCCTCTATCAGTGTTGAATAATATGCTGTTCTGGCACTATGAAGGGCTTTTTTATATGTTATTAAGCTATGTTTCCAGGCTAGAAAAAAGTCTTCTGACTTAGTGGATCGCCACTTCCTTTCCAGTTTTTGTGATGCCTGCTTTAGGGAGCGGAGCTGTGAGCTGTACCATGGAGCTAGCCTATTCTGTTTCACTGCCTTCTTTTTCAGAGGGGCAACAGTACCATCTCACTCACCCTGTCACTTGTGACACTCCAACCTTTTGTCAGGCGGTTCTGACTGGTGAGTTACAGTTTTTTTTACCTGCACAGACTTTGTGAGAAGCAGTGATAGAAAAACTGTACAAGTGGCACCATCTGGTGGACAATTGCGAGCAGGAATTACATGCATATCAGCAAACGCAATGAAATGGGTTCGGTGGGACAATGGTTGTCTGTAGTTATGTTGCTAAAAATTCAACAAATAATTGCATCTTATCACTTATACTATTGCATCTTGCAGATGCAATAGTATGATAGAAAATATAACTGGGCACCAATGACAAAATCGGATATTGTGATATTTGAAAAAAATCCTGAATATCATAACATACTGTAATTACTAATGCCCATTATCAATGCTTTAAGAAACACTTTAAAAAATGTACTATTCATTTAATGATCAAACAATAAAAATTATTCATGGTTGATTCCGTTGAGCTAAAACACCTTTAAAAAAAAGCTCAGAAAATTTTGAGAAACAGAGCATTTAAAACTTGAAAATAAAACATTTAGAATACAACTAGAATGTAAATTTCCTGAAGAAAATGTAGTGCACTTCCTACAAGTTGCTGCTGCTGGACAAATAATCAGATCAATGATGCAGAAGAAAAAACATATTTCTAGCTATAACCATCAATAGTATAAGATAGTGGGGTTTTTAAATAGCCAATGGCTACTCATTTCCTGCCATTTAATGTTTAATCTTGGTCCCTCTACATTAGCTTTGCACCCCTCATATCTTCAAATAGTCTGTAATTATTTCAGAACGATAAAACCCAGAGCCTCCTCTTGGAAACAAGAGGATAATTTGTGAATGTGCACACTTCCTGCTGCCGGTGTTGTGTTGAAATCTGTTTCCCCGTTGACATGAGTTTCCCCTAACCTGAATTCAGAATCAGAATCAACTTTATTGGCCAGATGTGTTGGACACACAAGGAATTTGACTCTGGTACAGCAGCTCTCAATATGTAACATTATTAATGTCTAACATTATACTAACCACAACTACTGAGGAGGGCACTACATGAAACCATGTTTCAAACAGAGGAAATACATCTTGACGGGGGAACACTTTTTGACACTAGACCGGTCAGGAAGCCAGGACAATGCATAAACAAAAAACATTAACTAGTAAGCTATGTTTTCAACAGTGGCAGTACCTAAAATCCTACATGACATGTTCAAGCCAGAATATTAATGTGAACAATGAACCACAAGAGCATTAATTAATTTTAACTTCTCCTCCATAGACAGGTAAACAACAGTATGTGTACCGATGGAAAGAGATGTGCAACACTCTAAACAAAGTGGGTAACTGAGAAAACCCATATTTTAACTGGCATAATGCAGCCATAGTAGCTTCTCCCACCCTACAACAATTCTCTCTAATGTTACAGAAACAACAAATTAACAGACATGCAACATGTTTGTTTTTTGTTTTTTTTACTTACCGTTGCGTCTGAGCAAGTAGTTGAAACATCACTCCCTTTCAAGTAGCTCCAAGCTCAGTAAACATTCAACTGGTGGTTGCTGTGTCTTCCCTCACACAACCACATATGGTCCCAAAGTAGTGAAATTAATTCAAATTAATTTGGGTAGCATAGCACTGACAATTGCATCATGGACCATAAAAATTCTGCTTTTAAAATGGTACCAGTGAATGTCATGCAAGCTTGCATGAACATGCAATTGCCTGGAGAATATGACAATTCAAAGAAATCCTTAAACTATCAGGTTAAACTTTATATTGTTAGAAAAAAGTCTCACGAGCAAGAGTTTGCAAGATTTATACTAGAACATATGTCCACCTAATTTTTTTAAGCTTTAGGTCATGGTTAATTAAGATGATAATTCACCATTGTGGATAAATCAGAAAACAAGGAAAAGCATGCCATTGGTTCTTTAAGGAATTATAGCTTTGTAACAGGCCACATGGTGGCACCACTAAGAACATTATAATATGTTGAGCACTTCCCCATGGGACATCTGCATACCAAGCAAGACTTTATTAGCATGTGAAGTCTATGAAGAAATGACAAACCACCACTGAAAAGAAATATTTAAACATTATTAACTAATTAATTATAACTAATAGGTCTATAACAGTCCCAAGCTGAATATGAGATATTTTGTCTTCCACATACTCAAAATGGTAAAAATTGAAGCATGTTTCTACTTGTATGTATGTGGGAATTGCAGTGATTTCTAGTCATTCATTTATTTGTTGTTTCTGTATCACCCCTAGTGGTGAATGTGAACTATACACGCTCATTCAGTACCTCATTCTATACAGATTAGCCAAATCTGATTTCAACTGGATGAAGCAACCAAGAGTTATTATGGTAGTTTGTTTATGTGGTCACACCCACAAATATTTGTCAATAAGCTAAAGATGGGTGAAATTGGAAACCAAAGGCATAGGTGGTATTCAGGTTCATCTAAATATGCTATGTGACTAAAGATTTAAATAAATATGTAGAATAAGAAAGAAAACTGTGTTTAACAAAAAATTCAACACGGCTGAAATTTTTTGAATACACAAATGGGCGTGGCCTATATCAGTCTATTCAGTACATCAACAAAGATATATATATATTTATATATATATATAAAAGACAATGGACAAGACGTCACCACTTCCTCCATTATGTAAACGTGAACCCAAAATATCGTGAATACTGCAGCTGCCATCGTGCTATGTTGAAACCAGATTCTGTGCAGTAGTGACCAGTATTGTAACATTGTATATGTGTATATGTTGTGTGGGTTTTTAGCTTGTTTACTTTATTTTTTATTGATAGGGTTTATGTGATTGTATGGGTGAGGCACTGTTAGGATGGCTTTTAAATTTCATTGTATGTGTTGCAATGACAAATAAAGTTTAACTTAAACAATAGTGGAGTGACAGCATCAGACTATCAATCAAAGCTGTCAAATCAACCAAAATACACCTCTTTTTATATCAACAAATAAATTATTAAAACAAACCTGTACACACATCAATGTTACAGTATGATATCTACCAAAAACCACAGAAATAACCTCTGAGAAAAATGTATTTGATTTGCACTTTGAGTTGTTGAATTATGTACCAATCACCAACATGGAGAAGGTAGGTTTTATGATATATATACTACAACCAGCTGCCAGGGGGCGATTGTCTGCTGGTGGCTTCACCTCTGGGAGCTCTTAGCCTGTCCACTATTTTTAGTCAATGCTTCAGCATCATCCACTGAATCCGTAGACACAATAATTTTTCTGCTGTCTTGCAGCTGCTGAGATATTAACAAAATAGTACACTACACTTCTGATACTGGATATCTCACCACATGGTGGCACTTTTGCCAATATTTTTGAGAAGGTGACGTAGTTTCATGTCTCTAGCATTTACAACTTTTGAAAGAAACAAGAAAGAAAGAGCAGCACCACTGTCTTCATTTCAGACAAAACAACAGTGATTAATAATTTAATGCAGCATAGTAAGAATGAACTGCAGAAAATGGAAAAATACTTTCTTCCGATTTTGACAAAATTGCTGAGCAAAAGACTGAATTTCTCTTCTCTAAAGACAGCTATAGACTGGAGAAGTAGCTGCATGTCTTAACATCTTCATTTTCATGGTCAGGTTTTCAAGTGTACAGCTCCGACAAATGTGAATTTTTAATACTGCTACATAGCTAGTACAGTAAGCTCTATCTTTTCCCTACTTGCTGTTCTCTCCCTCGTCTGTGTCCAGCAGACAGGTGGCTGCGATGGACCTTGTCACAGTGTATGGATCACAGTTCGCCGCAGGACGACGGTCCTCGAAGTAGCCCCTCTTTTCTTGGCCTACCTGACGAGGGATGCGGATGCTGGCGCCTCGATTGGCCACTCCAGCAGAGAAGTCTTCGATGCTGGAGGTTTCATGAAGACCTGTGAGACGTCTAATGTTATCCTTGCCTCCATGTGGGTCATAAACACGGATGTGCTCGGCGTGTTTCTTGCTCAGTTTCTCAATGGCCTGTTCAATGTATCTGTCATCAAAGGGAAAGAAAGACAGTTGAGTTCTGGAGGGCTGCTGCACCAACTTTCTGTGGATGAGTAATGTCTGAAGACAAAATACATACAAATATTTATGTATTTACCGTAGTTGGTTATTGTTATTATTAGAGTATTAACATATAAACCTGTTCCATGAATTATCGACAGCAAGTTTCAAAGGAGATGTTTACTCACTGCAGTCCTCCCTTTTCCCTCATCTCCTTGGTGCTGACATTTGTGTGGCAACCAGCACCACACCAGTTGCCCACCATTGGTTTGGGGTCCAGTGTCGCAACAACTCCAAAATCTTCACACACACGGTGCAACAGATAGCGTGCAACCCACAGGTGGTCGCCCATCTCAATGCCCTCACAGGGACCCACCTGGAACTCCCACTGAAGTCAGAACAAGCAGAAGCGCAGGAAAGAAGCAAAATAAGAAAACTGTACAGGAACAATGTGAAACAAGACTGGACAAAACAATAATTACGCTTGAGTGCATAACTGAACCAACACATTTTCCTCCCACTGTGTATTAGAATAATGGTGTCACCTACCTGAGATGGCATAACTTCAGCATTTGTGCCATAGATTTTGACTCCAGCATAGAGGCAGGCCTTGTAGTGACACTCCACAATGTCCCGTCCATAAGCATTGTTAGCCCCCACCCCACAGTAGTAAGGACCTTAAAGTGGGAGATGAGATGGGACGCTTAAGTCAAAATTATGCAACATGTGAAAAAAACATTTATGTTTAACTGAGAATCCCAATGTCAGGTGTGGTTTATTAAGTGAACCCAAATGCAAGACAACACAAGTAACAGCAAAAGTCTAAGTCCAAGAAAAAAAAAAGAACAGTGTAATTAGTTCCTCAAAATAAACAGTCCCCTTAAGACTTGTTTGCAGGAAGAACAGGACAAAATGACACCTGGCACATTTAATCACTCGGTGTCCTCAGTCCCATAATGTTTTTTAAGTGTTGTGACAATAAACGGCAACATCACACCGTGGTAAATGCTTTACTGTCCCAACTTTGTTTGGAATGTGTTGCAGGCATTAGAACTGAAATGTGTTTATTTTGAACACAGAATAAAACTGATGAGGTATCACATCAAATAATTTGCTGCTGTATTGGTTTCAATGTGATACAGGACACAGATGATTTACACACCACTGTTTTCAGTTTTTATTTTGATTTGACATATTGTCCCAACTTTTTCTGCTTTGGGGTTGTAGCTATGATAATTTACAAACTATTAATATTTACAACTACATATTTGATATTTTAATGCCGATTGAATTCTTTATTAGAGATGTCATGGCTTATTATTAGCAATGTGATCTTCCCTTCTCAGATTGTTTCATTAGTTTAGGCTTATGAGGAGGTAAAATTCTTTATTTTAGTATTTCACAAAAAAAAAGATTTTATTAAAGTCAATAAGTAATTGCAAACATAATTTTGTGCAGCAGAAATTATTTAGTTAATGTTGTAATTTCTTTGATCTTTTTATTTGACCACCTGATTTGGATAACATTGGTTTATTATCCGGTGCCGTCAATCCAAGCCATAAGACCTGAAGTTATGAATGTTAGCAAGTCCCCAGTTAACACTTAAATACTTCAGTAATTAAGTCTGTAGTTATAAATATTAATGCAGTGATCTTGTTGTGGTTGCCTTGCAGCTCTTCATCTAGATCATGGAACACGGATTTTCACAACCATTTTAACAAGTGGCTAATTACACCACTAATTATCAGTAAAGGGTGACACAACACCTTACACTATGTTTCAAATATGAGATACTAGTGTTCTTACAAGGAGAGGAGATGGCTGCTGACCTACCTTGAGGTGCTGGATATCCATTTGTAGGCCAGCCAAAAGGATGTCCATCTACTCCCAGAAGTGTGTACTCCTGCTCCATGCCAAACCAAATACAGTGCTCTTTAACGGCCTCCATCACTTTGCTGCAGCTTAACCGATGGTTAGTTTCTAGTTTGTAAAGACAAAATCAGTACAGCTTGTTTGTCCTGAACTTTCAGGGTCACAACAGTAAAACATGATCAGCAAAGTGAAAAATGTACCTGCAGGTAAGCGGTTGTATTTGAGGACCTCACAGAAGACCAGTTTGTTGGGGTCGAGGGTGAATGGATCCTTGAACATGCAGACTGGAATGAGGTACATGTCGCTGTTGGAGCCTTCGGCCTGGTATGTGCTTGAGCCATCGAAGTTCCATTCAGGAATATCTGAGAAATAATTTTACCAAAATATTATCACCTCATCATCACTTCAAAATATTATTCAAAATTGGATTTCCTGTGTATGGTGAAACCTGAAAAGCTGACAAACTCTTTTAACTCTGATAAAACTTTACATTATATTACAATCTAGTATAAATGCTCAGACCCAGCAGCTGCTTCCCCGACAATCACCATCCTTCCCTCCAGCCCCCCACCTCTAACAATCTGTGAAAAGGATGTGCGTGGCCTCTTTAAAAAACAAAGGATCAGAAAGGCACCAGGCCCAGATGGTATGACCCCCTCCTGCTTGAAAGTGTGCGCTGATCAGCTGGCCCCCATCTTCACACTCTTCTTCAACAGGTCAGTGGAACTGTGTGAATTCCCCTCCTGCTTCAAACGCTCCACCATCGTTCCAGTCCCCAAGAAAACCTCCATCAGTGTACTGAACAACTACAGACCTGTCGCCCTGACATCTGTAGTTATGAAGTCCTTTGAAAGACTGGTGTTGGCCCACCTGGACATTGTTGACCCCCTACTAGACCCCCTGCGGTTTGCCTACCGGGCAAACAGGTCAGTGGACAATGCAGTGAACATGACACTGCATTACATCCTGCAACACCTTGACTCCCCAGAGACCTATGCACGGGCCCTCTTTGTGGTCTTCAGCTTGGCATTCAAAACCCTCATGCCGGACATCCTCCACTCCAAACCGACCCAGCTCACTGTGCCTGCCCCCACTCGTCACTGGATTACAAGCTTTCTGACAGACAGGAAGCAGCAGGTGAGGCTGGGGAGAACCACATCCAGCACCCGGACAATAAGCACAGGTGCCCCCCAGGGATGTGTGCTCTCCCCTCTGATGTTTTCACTCTACACCAACGACTGCATCTCGAAGGACCCCTCTGTCAGGCTCCTAAAGTTTGCTGATGAGACAACAGTCATTGGTCTCATCCGAGACAGTGATGAGTCAGCCTACAGACAGGAGGGTGAGCAGCTGGGCCTGTGGGGTAGCC